TTTCTAGTTGGTCCTTTATCACAACATCGAGGGTCTCATTAGATTTCTTGTAGATCTCATTAAGTTTATCAGCAGTTTCTAGAAAATTCTTGAAAAACCTTAAAAGTGTGGTTTTGAACTCTATATCCAGTAGTTTGCTTTCCTCCATTTCTGTCATTTGTGCCCTGTTTCTTTGTCTCCACTTTTTTCATGTTTCCTGTGTTGATAAAGTGGTTTTCTGTGCTGAGTGCCCTCTAGGGCCCAGTACTTCAGCCTCCCCAATTACCTGAGGAGGACACTCTTGGTGCACAAAGACCCTTGTGGTCTTTGTGCACAGTCTTGTTGTAGTTAAGCCTTGATTGTTGTAGTTATCACTGGGAGGAATTGACCTCCAGGCCAATTGGCTGTGAGAATCAGCTGTGTCTGCAGTGGGAGAACTTCTGTGCTGGAGACACCCTTCTGGGGCAAGACTTGCTTCAATGGGGCTTTGGTGCTCACTGAGTCTGCCCCCTGAGTGTGTCCTTTATGGTTCCATGGAGCTGCGAACTGGATGGTCCCACTCTGACCTCTGGGTTTCCTGGCTCCTGTATCTCTAGGGAGGTGCTAATCTAGCCTTTGTCTGAGGCTATCCAGCAAAAGCCTCCCTGCAGTGCTTGGGCAGGGTGGGTCCCACGGGATCAACAGGGCAGGGCTAGCAGTTATGGCTGCTCTCAGTCCAGCCTTCAGAGGCTCTGCTTCTCATTGTCCCAGTAATCACTGCAAGCCCCTCGGAAAGATAGCTGCCCTCGAGTTCCGACTGATGCCAGACAGTCCCGCTTCTCCCATATGAGTATGAGTCCCCAGAGACTAGGCCGGAACTGGAGCACAGAGCCTGAGACTCCCTCCCGATTGAAAACGACAACCGAGAGTGGGACCATCCAGTTTGCAGCTCCATGGAACCATAAAGGACACACTCAGGGGGCAGACTCAGTGAGCTCCAAAGTCCCATTAAAGCAAGTCTTGGAGGAAAACCAAGATGGCGGCATAGGTAAACACCGGAGATTGCTGCCTTGCACAACCACTTCAAAAATACAACTAAAAGATGGAACGGACATCATCCAGAACCACAGGAAGGCTGGCTGAGTGGAAATTCTACAACTAGAGGGAAATAGAAAAGCTTACCAAGACTCAGAGGAGGAGCGGTGCGGAAGTAGAATACTAAGGTGCGGAAGTGCATGCGGAGCGGGCTGGCGGCTGAGGGTGCGGTTGCCTTTTTCAATCAGGAGGGAGTCTCAGGCTCTGAGCTCCAGTTCCAGGCTAGTCTCTGGGGACCCAGACTCATACGGGAGAAGCGGGACTGTCTGGCATCAGTCGGAACTCTAGGGCAGCTTTCTCTCCAAGGGGCTTGCAGCGATTACCGGGACACTGAGAAGCATAGCCTCTGAGGACTGGACTGAGAGCAGCCATAACTGCTAGCCCTGCCCTGTTGATCCCGTGGGACCCACCCCGCCCAAGCACTGCAGGGAGGCTTTTGCTGGATAGCCTCAGACAAAGGCTAGATTAGCACCTCCCTAGAGATACAGGAGCCAGGAAACCCAGAGGTCAGAGTGGGACCATCCAGTTCGCAGCTCCATGGAACCATAAAGGACACACTCAGGGGGCAGACCCAATGAGGACCAAAGCCCCATTGAAGCAAGTCTTGCCCCGGAGGGGTGTCTCCAGCACAGATGTTCTCCCACTGCAGACACAGCTGATTCTCACAGCCAATTGGCCTGGAGGTCATTCCCTCCCAGTGTTAACTACAACAATCAAGGCTTAACTACAACAAGACTGTGCACCAAGACCACAAGGGTCTTTGTGCACCAAGAGTGTCCTCCTCAGGTAATTGGGGAGGCTGAAGTACTGGGCCCTAGAGGGCACTCAGCACAGAAAACCACTTTATCAACACAGGAAACATAAAAAAAGTGGAGACAAAGAAACAGGGCACAAATGACAGAAATGGAGGAAAGCAAACTACTGGATATAGAGTTCAAAACCACACTTTTAAGGTTTTTCAAGAACTTTCTAGAAGCCACCGATAAATTTAGTAAGGCCCTCGAAAAGACTAGTGAGACCGCCGATAAATGTAGTGAGATCCTCAAGAAATCTAGTCAGACCCTCAATGTTATGATAAAGGACCAACTGGAAATTAAGCATACACTGACTGAAATAAAGAATATTATACAGACTCCCAACCGCAGACTAGAGGATTGCAAGAATCAAGTCAATGATTTGAAATACGAAGAAGCAAAAAACACCCAACCAGAAAGGCAAAATGAAAAAAGAACCCAAAAAAAACTAAGATAGTGTAAGGAGCCTCTGGGACAGCTTCAAGCATACCAACATCCGAATTATAGGGGTGCCAGAAGAAGAGAGAGAGCAAGATATTGAAAAACTATTTGAAGAAATAATGACAGAAAACTTCCCCTACCTGGTGAAAGAAATAGACTTCCAAGTCCAGGAAGTGCAGAGAACCCCAAACAAAAGGAATCCAAAGAGGACCACACCAAGACACATCATAATTAAAATGCCAAGAGCAAAAGACAAAGAGAGAATCTTACAAGCAGCAAGAGAAAGACAGTCAGTTACCTACAAAGGAGCACCCATACGACTGTCAGCTGATTTCTCAACAGAAACTTTGCAGGCCAGAAGAGAGTGGCAAGAAATATTCAAAGTGATGAATGCCAAGAACCTACAACCAAGATTACTTTACCCAGCAAAGCTATCCTTCAGAATTGAAGGTCAGATAAAGAGCTTCACAGATAAGGAAAAGCTAAAGGAGTTCATCACCACCAAACCAGTATTATATGAAATGCTGAAAGGTATCCTTTAAGAAGAGGAAGAAGAAGAAAAAGGTAAAGATACAAATTATGAACACCAAATACACATCTATCAACAAGTGAATCTAAGAATCAAGTGAATAAATAATCTGATGAACAGAATGATGATTATAATAGAATCAGGGGCATAGAAAGGGAATGGACTGACTATTCATGGCGGGGAAAGGGGTGTGGGGGATGCGGGAAGAGATTGAATAATAATCGTGCACCTATGGAGGAGGACAGTGAGTAGGGAGTGAGGGCAGAGGGTGGGGTGGGAACTGGGTGGAGGGGGATTATGTGGGGGGGGGGAGAGGAACAAATGTAATAATCTGAACAATAAAGATTTAATTTTAAAAAAGTAAAAACATAAAAAAGCTATATGCTCATTTGGGCACAATCAGAAGCCTATAATTGATGTAGCATATTGAAAAAAATGATTGCCCATTTCTTTCTCTTTTTTGAGCTTGACTTTTCCCTTGACAGTTTTACATTAAATGTCTTATCTTTGAGTCTGTATTTACCTTGCTGAAAGAGATCATTATGCTAAGAAAATATTCTATTCTGTTGATATTATTTAAGTAACTATTAATACAATTTTATAAATAGATATAATTAACTCAACACTGGCAACTTTCTTTGAAATTTTCTCTTTTCCTTCCTGAGCTTATTGTAATCTCTGACTGTAACTTGTAAACATCTGTCTAGAATTCATGAAACGTCCCCCATTTGGGTCCCAGTCAGCTCAGCAACAGAGACTGTCATGTTTAAGAGCTGAGCATCACTGCAGTAAGGTAAAAATGAACAAACTAAAGTGTTCCAGTGGGAGAAACTCACAGGCTGATAATCCCTCTAAGGATTCCCTTTATACAAAGCTGAGACTTTAGGAGGGAAGTGTTAAAGGAAAATGATTACTAGAATAACATACATGTGATTAAAACACTCAATGTACGGAAAGTAAGGATTTTTCTTAGAAGATGAGTTTGAAATACAATGTGCCAGAGGCTCCTCCAGTGTCCTCAAGCCTGCCTGCTCCCTCTCTGCCTCCATAAAGGGTAGAATTTGCCCCAACATATTACCCCACCCTTTGTACCTCTGCAGACATCCTTTCATCCAGAGAAGTCTTTTGTGTCATCTGGAAATGGATATTCAAAAGGTAAAAACACCTTGCAGCCTTACCGCAGGTCCAAACTTATTGCATCCTTAGCAAGTACCAGTGGAAGGACGAATCATTTTCTTTAATCTTTACAGCGAGGCTCCTACCAGCTGGCTTTTCCTCAGTCTCACAAAGCAACCACACACCTGGAAACCCAGACTTCAGCCCTCCTCTGTCCCATGTTATCTGCCCCCAAAGCTGAGTGAGGACCGAACATAACTGTTTTTTAAAACGTTTTTATGAATCCCTTTGATTAAACAGTTGGCCATATTTTCTTTTGTTACCACAAGCTCTTCTGTTAATCCAGTGAACAAACATTTATTAAACACTTATTTTGTGACCACACACTGTGCTAGACTCAGGGAACACTATAGTCATGCTCTTCCCTTCATGGGAAAGACAGACAGTAAACAAGGCTCAGCCCCACTGTGGTCAGTGCTATGAAGATGACAAATGTGATGGCCTGAGTGAGGCAGGTAGGAATGGATGGATCAGGGATATCTGAACTGAGAATTGGAGCATGAGAATAAGTCAGATTTTCCTCGTGCACGCATCTTATCACGTTTTATTTTTAATAAAATTTCAATCTAATATCCCACATAAACAAAAGTGTGTGTCCTTTGTTTTTTCCCAGAGTATAAGGGTCATGAGACCAAAAAGTGAGAAAACCACTATGGTTTATCCCCAGCCATGATTGGTCCATTTCTTGCACTGACCTCATAAGGCACCATTGTGATGGAATTGCAAACCACTCCCCAGCCGTGATTGGTCCATTTGTTGCTCTGACCTCATAAGGCGCCATTGTGATGGAATTGCAAACCACTCCTATATAAGGCCCTGTCTGGGCCGAGGATTTCGTCCGTTATAGCCCAGGAAGCTGCTTGCGGTGACCTGTTGCACTTGGACACCTTAGCCTGTTTTTGTCCTATTTTTTTTTCATTTTTCTTTTATTTAATTTTTGTTTTTATTTCGTTTTCTTTTTTGTTATTTCTATTTTTTTATTTTTGTTTTGTTATTTTGGAGCTGCCATGTCGTCTGACTGTGCAACCTCCTCTTCTCACTTTTCAACCCCTCCCGTCAACCAGGTGCGCTTCGTTGGTGACTATGTGCTCCAGCGAACAATCAGCAAGGGAGCCGGGGCCACGGTGAGCTTGGCCTGGCACGTGCCAACTGCCACCGAGGTGGTTATAAAAGCTATTATTCAGAAGGGCTGTCCTGAGTTCCCTCAAGAAGCCCATTGTCTTCAGAGCTTAAACCACCCAAACATCACGACATTATTTGAGGTGACTGCCACCCAGGACAAGTTTTACCTGGTGATGGAGCACATGAGGGGAGGGGACCTACGAGAGCACCTGGAGACCTACGGCCGCCTGACGGAGCGAGAAGCGCGCTCCGCGTTCCGGCAGCTGGTGTCCGCGCTCCAGTACTGCCACCACAGGGGCATTGCCCACCGGGACCTGAAGCCCGCCAACATCCTGTTAGACGCCAACATGACCATCAAACTGGCAGACTTTGGTTTCGGCAAGGAAGCGAAGGGCCAAAAACTGAGCACCTTCTGCGGCACCATCTACTACATGGCCCCCGAGATCTTCAAACCAAGACTATGACAGCTGCAAAGCGGACGTCTGGAGCTTGGGGGCCACCTTGTACAAGATGGTGACGGGAAAGGTGCCGTTCCGGGGGGCCAACTTTGTACGACAGAGGGAGAAGATTCTGGCGGGGAAGTTCGAAGTGCCGCACTTCCTGAGCAGGCAAGGCCAAAGTTTTTTTAAAAGATTAATTACGGTGGACCCCAACCAGAGGCCGACCATGGAAGAGGTCATGGAGGACCCCTGGCTCAACATGGGCCAGGAGGAGGAGCCGCTGCGGCCCTACATCGAGCCGCCCCAGGAGGACTTGGACCCCCGCGTCACAGCAATGATGCTGGACCTGGGCTTCAACCAGGAAGAGATCCAGCATTCAGTGACGCAGAGGACATTCGATAAAGTGATGGGGACATACAGGATCCTGAGAGTGACCCAGACCAAGATGCCCGGCCGCACCATCCGGGTAAGGCCCTACCCCTCCCTTGAGGCCAGGAGCATTTTCTCCAGCCAGGAGGTGGGTTGTGGGCAGAGCTCAGGAGATCTATCTCAGTGCTGCGGCCGAAGCAACGCTGTGAGCACACTCCAGCGAACATGTTTCCTTGGCACACCAGGAAGTAGCAACGCCCGCCTGACAAATCTCCAGGAGCCACCTACTCTTGGCCCCGATCTCACGCCCATTGGATAACATAGAAAGCGTGTCCCTATTGCAATGGCTGCTTACCCCTTTATATACGGCTATACTTCCTCAATCAACTTGGATCTGTGTCTCTGGAAAAAAAAAGAAAACGACAACCGCGCCCTCAGCCTCCAGCCTGCTCCGCATGCATCTCCGCACCTTAGTATTTTACTTCCGCACTGCGCCTCCTCTGAGTCTCGGTATGCTTTTCTATTTCCTTCTAGTTGTAGAATTTCCACTCAGCCAGCCTTCCTGTAGTTCTGGATGATGCCCATTCCGTCTTTTAGCTGTATTTTTGAAGTGGTTGTTCGAGGCAGCAAACTCCGATGTTTACCTATGCCACCATCTTGGTTTCTCCTATGTAATACTTTAAACAATAAATAATTTAAATTTTTTAGAAAAGAATAAACAACCCTAGCTTGTTTGGCTCAGTGGATAGAGCGTCGGCCTGAGGACTGAAGGGTCCAGGGTTCGATTCTGGTCAAGGGCACATGCCCAGATTTCAGGCTCGATCCCCAGCTGGGGCGCGTGCAGGAGGCAGCCAATCAACGATTCTCTCTTCTCATTGATGTTTCTATCTCTCACTCCCTCTCCCTTCCTCTCTGAAATCAATAAAACTATATTTTAAAAAAAAGAATAAACAAAATGGATTAAAGACTTAAATGTAAGACTAGAAATCTTAAACTCCTAGAAGAAGACATAGGCAGAGAAATCTCAGACATTTCTCTTAGTAATATTTTTTTTATATATCTCCTCAGGCAAGGGAAACAAAAGGATAAAGAATAAACAAATGGGACTACATCAAACTAAAAAGTTTTTGCACAGCAAAGGAAACCATCAACAAAATGAAATGATTGGGAGAACATATTTGCCAATGATACATCTAATAAGGAATTAGTATCCAAAATTCATCAAGAACTCATACAACTCAACATCAAAAAACAAACAATCCATTTATAAATAGGTAAAGGACCTGAATAGACACTTCTCTAAAGAGCACATACAAGACGGCCAACAAACATATAAAAAGATGCTAATGTCATTAATCATTAGAGAACTTCATATTAAAACCACAACAAGATATCACCTCACCCCTGTCAGAATGACTGCCATCAATAAATTAACAAACAAATGTTGGTGAGGATGTGGAGAAAAGGGAACCCTTGTGCACTGTTGGGGGGACTGCAGACTGGTGCAGCCACTGTGGCAAGCAGTATGCAGTTACCTCAAAAAATTAAAAATGGAACTGCCTTCTGACCCAGTGATTCCACTTCTGGGTATATAACCAAAGGAACCCAAAACATCAATTCGAAAGAATATATGCACCCCTATGCTCATTGAAGCATTATTTACAACAGTCAGGCTCTGGAAGCAACCCAAGTGCCCATCAATAGATGAGTGGCTAAAAAAGCTGTGGTACATATATACAATGAAATATTACTCTGCCATAAAAAGAATGAAATTTTACCATTTGTGAGAGCATAGATGGATCTAGATGATATTGTACTACATGAAAAAAGTCAGCCAGATAAATACAAATACCATATGATTTCACTTATATGTGGAATCTAAATGCCAATATACATAAGCAAACAAACAGAAATAGATTCATGGATTCAGAGAACAAACTGATGGTTGCCAGAAGGAAGGTGGGTTAGAGGACTGGGTGGAAGAGGTGAAGGGATTGAGAAGTACAGATTGGTAGCTACAAAACAGTCATGGGGATGTAAAATATAGCATAGGAATATTGCCAATAATACAGTAATAATTATGTATGGATACTGAAAAAATCAGGGGGACCACTATATCAATGGTATAGTATATCATTGTCTAACCACTATGCTGCACACCTAAAACTAATATAAAATAACATTGAATATAAACTGTAACTTTAAAATATTAGAAAAAATATATATATATATATAAGCTATAAAAAAGAGAAAATAATTCATTAAAGCTGAACAATCCTCTTTTTCTATCTTCTTAATAATTTACTTCTTGTTGTCTGGTACATTTACAAATCAGGAACTCAGTAAAAAAATAATCCTATATGATAGCTCTAAGGGCTGAAAATATTCTTTCCCAGACTGAACAATGCTAATCAAAATTTTGCATTCAGATTATGTTACATTTTCCTACCTAGAAGTAAAGAAATGGGCACAATCCTATAACATCAAAACTAAAAGAATTTTATTTCATTGCTATTATAATCTGTTAGGAAAGGAAATGTTAGGAAATAGTGAACATAATTTTAATATATTAAAGATTTAAATATACATCAATGTATTTTTATGAGCAAAACAGACCTAAAATAATAGTCAAATCTTTCACAGAATTCTTCTCTGAAATCCATTCAAGTCTAATAGTTCTCAAAGGGCACATTACCAAACCAAAAAGCTTTTTTCAGAGTCATAAATGAAACTAGACAACAGGATTCCAGACAGTATTAACATAATGAGCAAACTAGCTCTATTTGTGCCAAAATTAATTGAAAAAGTTGTTTGGATTGATTTTTAGCTTGATCTAAACTACATTTAAACAAAACACTCAACACTGTATCTAGGCAAGAGTACTCAACTTTAATAAACTTCAAAAGCCATTTCGAATTTTATTACTTTATTCTCATCTTGTAGATGATATTTTTTCTTAAATTGTTATATTGGAAAGGAGAAAAGGAAACTAACATTCATTATGTTACAGCAAAGTACCAGTGGAAACTGAATTATCACTTAACCCTGATAATTTCCCTGGAAGGAACACATTTCTTTCCAGAGATTTCAGAAGAGGGCCTTCCGACTTGAAAATAATGGTGACATGCTACTTATCATTGTACCTAAAAAGACTGACCGGGGAGCAAAAATCTTCCCATAGCACACTTCAGAATTCTTTATGTGGAAGAATGCCTGAACCAAGTGATTAATTTGGACCACAGAAGTCATAGGATTGGCTGACAAGAGCCTGCCATACAATGGATGTGTCCTGGGGGCTCACAGAGGCTTTGGCAGGGAACTGGGATGAAGAGTAACACAGCATTCCTGGCCTTGGGGGCTTATAACTTGAGACATATATAGAGAGTTATGTAAAGAATTAGCATTTACTTAGATCAGTGGTTGGCAAACTGTGGCTCGCGAGCCACATGCGGCTCTTTGGCCCCTTCAGTTTGGCTCTTCCACAAAATACAGGCTCTTCCACAAAATACCGGCTCTTCCACAAAATACTAACTTCTGCGCATGGGCTACGAAGTTTCAATCGCACTGTATGTGCGTGCCCGCACGTGGTATTTTGTGGAAGAGCCACACTACAGGGGCCAAAGAGCCGCATGTGGCTCACGAGCCGCAGTTTGCCGACCATGGACTTAGATTCCCATAAAAGTCTGGTCTCACATGTGTTCTCTTTCTAACCCAAATTTCTCCCAAGTGCCTTCTAACCGTAGATAACGAGAACAAATTCAGCCATACTCTGGTCTTTGATGACATCTTCTGGACCGGTCACATACCAACATAAGCCGGCCTCTCTTTGAGCCCTGTGTTCTTCTTTAATGTTTGCAGGGGCTCCTGGACCTCTTCTCCATAGGGGAGGGAAGGACTCAGTTACATGAAACCTAGGCTTTCTGGACTGACTGCAAGGAAGCTGGAACTATGCACAACTTGGAGACTGTATGTAATGGTGGCTCTCTGGTATCATTTGTGGGATATCAGAATAGGTTCCTTCCCAGTTCCCAAAAGAGCTCCTTTACTGGCTTTTAACAGCACATACAACTGCAAGCAGAGTCATTCCTTCACTAGATCTAGAACAGCCATGACAAATCCATGGGGGGTGTATGCCTCTTGACTAATAGAATGTTTTGCAAGTGTACTGTGCAGCCCTGAGCCCAGGCTTTAAGAACCGATGGCTTCCACTTCTGTGGCATTTGAAGCATGCTGCCATGCTAGAAGGAAGTCTAAGCTATGCAGCTGGAGAGAAAGGCTGTAAGGAGAAGACCTGAAGCAGCTTGGCAACAGGGAGCACTAAGGCTCCAAACATGTGAAAGAGGTCTTCTTGGACCTTCTAGCCCAGCTGCAGCAGAACTCCCACTGGAATATAATGACATAAGCAACCGCAGCTACACTACATGAAGCAGAAGAGCTGCCCAACTGAGCCCAGTCCAGCCAGAGAATTGTGAGAAATAATAAACAGTTCTTGTTTTAAGGCACCACGTGTTGTGGAGACTTGTTTCACAGCAACAGGTAACTGAAATGGGGAACCTTGTACTTTAAGATGACAATAGTACTCCCTTCTCTCCCTCTCTTTGGGCCTTGATAAAAACATTCTAAAGGTCATCTGTGAGGCTACTCGATAATAACAGCCAATCGTTTTTTGAAAAGCAAAATAATGAGAGGATGCTTGACCTATGGAACACTGAAACATTTTTAAACTTCAGTAATCAGATAAAGAAGAACAGCTATCACGTATTGAATGCTGATAAGACACTGTCAGCATTGCTCAAAGTATTGCCATGACAAATAATGTATTATTCTTCATGCTTACAGTTGAAAATCTGAAAGTAATATTCAAAGCTGTTATACTAATAATTATAGAGCATTAATGATAAACCAGAATAATAGAAAAGATAATAAAGCTACATATGTGTTAGAGTTTAAGATTAATTACATATGTAAGAACACTGGTCCGTCCATGCATTGTACTGAATGAACAATCATCAGAACTGAAGAGCCTTCAGGTTTCTGAAGTGTCTCCTAAGGGATCTAGGACAACCGTAATTCTCTCCCTAGGGCAGTGATCGGCAAACTCATTAGTCAACAGAGCCAAATATCAACAGTAGAACGATTGAAATTTCTTTTGAGAGCCAAATTTTTTAAACTTAAACTATACAGGTAGGTACATTGTTATTCACTTAATTAGGGTACTCCTAAGGCTTAGGAAGAGCCACACTCAAGGGGCCAAAGAACCGCATGTGGCTCGCGAGCCGCAGTTTGCTGACCACAGACCTAGGGAAAAAGAATGAATAC